TGCGGATAGAAGCGCACAATGGGGCGAACGATTGCTAAATCGCACAGTTGTACGCACCATGTGTGGACGATGTGTGGACGGTGTGTGAACGATGTATGCACGGCATTTCGTCCCGTTTTGGCTTTGTAGACCTAACAGCCTTACGTTGCTTAAACTTGGCTATATAAAGGTCACTGTCCTGCTCTTTTCTTTTTTTTCTATACCCCATAAATCTAACCAGTTGGTAAATATTTGCTGACTTTTCCCCTCAGACATGTTAGCTTCGTCTTCTGAGGAAGAGACAACATTTACCGTAGCAGTTATACAGTCAGGGCATGTTTGTTTACCACACTGCTTCCTGGGTCTGCGGGACAGCCCATCAGCATTTCCGTGCTGTCTACCTGGTCTATGTTGAATTTCATAATCGAACATATCAACTACGCTTATCCATCTAGCTAGTAAACCCTCTGGCTCTTTGAATTGTTTTCAACCAGGTCAAAGCAGCGTGGTCAGTGCGTATGAGGAAGTGGGTGTCCCCAATATAGTGCCTAAAATACCTTAAGAAGGTGACAACAGCAAGTAGCTCTCTACGAGTTGTGAAATAATTTTTCTGTGCTCTACTGAGGGTTTTACTGGCGTACCCAATGACCCTTTCCTCGCTATTCTGAACCTGACTGAGAACACAACCCATTCCAACACTACTAGCATCACAATCTAATATGGAAGTACCCGTACTTTGTAGATATGAGAGAATAGGACCAGACACTAGCAGATCTTTAAGTTTTTGAAATGCCTTTTGACATATTTCATCCCATTGGAATACTTTCCCTTCCTGGTTAATTTTGTTAAGGGAGCCGATATGTCTGAAAAATTGGGGATAAACATCCTGTAATAACCCGCCAAGCCCTGGAAACTTCTAATTTCTGATGAGGAACCAGGTTGTGGCCACTCCTTGACCGCTTTAACCTAATCGGGGTCACAGCTGATACCAGCTTCTGAAACGACATGGCCAAGATAAGAGACTTGGGTCTGGAAAAGGGTACACTTTTTGGGTTTAAGTTTACGGTTTTCTGTACGAAAGCACTCACACACACACACTTCAAATTAGACATGGCTGACTCAAATGAGGACCCAAAACAGAGTACATCATCAAGATAGCAAAGGCACTTGGAACATTGTAATCCACCTAAAACCAACTGCATTAGGCGCGAAAACGTTGCAGGGGCATTACAAATGCCAAATGGCATTACATTGAACTCGTAAAGACCTTTATGGGATGCAAAAGCTGTTTTTGCTCTACTGTTTTGATCCATACTACATTGCCAATACCCGCTTGCTAAATCTAGCGTAGAACACCATTTCATTCCTGATAATGTTTCTATTGCTTCATCTATTTTTGGAAGGGGGTACGCATCCTTTCTGGTAACTGAATTTAGTTTTCTATAGTCAATGCAAAAACGCACCGAACCATCTTTCTTGGAACAAAGCACAACAGGGGCAGACCAAGGACTGGAGCTGGGTCGAATTACGTCTCTCTCAAGCATACTATTTAATTCTTTTTCAACAACTACCTTTTGACCAGGGGATATCCTTCTAGGAGGTATCTTTATGGGGAGAGCTTCCTGGGAATCTATGGTATGTTCAACTAATGTTTGTATTCCCCAAAGTTCCATCAGGACCTGCAAAGTTATCCTGATACTCATGTAACAAATCCCTGACCCCGGACGTTTGACTGGGGGTTAACTCATCAGAATTTCTTTTTAGAACATCCTGTAAATGCGGAGGAAGATGTGAACTATCTACCGATTTCTCCTCACTAATCTCATGTACTTGCTCGACAGAATGCACGCTGCCTACAAAAGTGTTGCATTGGATCTTCACCTCCCTTGCAGTTAGATTCAGTTATTTCCCTTCCCTCCTGAGAGGCTATCGATGTTTTTGCCAACAGTAGGCCTTGGTTAGACACCAATTTGGTAGGTTCAATAATACCCAGCTCACTATCTATTTCTCCATCAACATATCCAGCAAAATAGCACTCAGAATGTTTAGGAATAGACACTGGTTCTGATACCCTAATATGGGCACACCGACTTACAGGTTGTGTGTTCAACTTAACCTTGTGGCCTCCTAACTGCAGAGTATTATCCCCAAAACTCAAATTCCTCTCATGTCTCGATAGGAAATCTATACCTGGAATACCCTGTAGACCTTGGAGTGTTGCCAGAGACAGGGGCAACCTTTCAAAAGTTTTGCTACCAAAGTTTTTCTTTCTTGTGTTTAACTTTCGGTTTAACTTTTTAAATTGTTCTAGAATTAGAGCACTCAAATCAGACTCAGATGCAACATCACCCGTACTGGGTCCTTGTTGTACGGCCTGAGCAAAATCAGGGAACTCTGGATTTAAATCTCGTGGTTTTCTAACAGGAATTTTGCCCACCTGCCTGGCGTTGAAATACTCAAATTCTATGGCGGCACTCACCGCCTGGTCAGGTGTAGTAGGGTGACAAAATTGTACATGACGGCCTAATTCATAGTTATTGAGACCATCTATAAACTGATCTACTACATCCCCTTCTAACAGGTTAACATGCTTGCTTGGATACGCCCTACGAGCAGCAATTCTGATTACTTCCCCATTATCAACTAAACTTTCTCCCTCTCTCCGATTTGTAAGCTGCCTCCCTCCCAGGGGTGTTAAATCTTTTCCCAAAGACATGTTTCAATGACCCAAAATCTGTCATATCCCTAGCTTGTAGCTCTGAAAGTATTCTCTGAGCAGCACCACGCAGACACATAGTAATCTGCTGAGCCCTATCTAAATAAGACCAACAATTCCAAGCAGAAATTTGCTCAAGATGTATTAAAAATTCTCGGAAACTGGTTGTTCCATCATATGTTTGGGGCTCTTTCTCTCACCTCTTCACTGAGACTACTGATGGAGTATTATTTACTATAACTGAAGTAGGCTAGGGTCCAGATACAGCCCCGTCTGACCAAGAAGAACATGTCACAGCAGTACTAGTAATACTGGCTGGATTCCTAACACCTGAGCTTGAATAAACAGGAGGAAAACCTGAAGTGGTTACTGTCAGAGAATATGTAGGACAGCAGGGAACCTCTCGGTAGGAGGACAATTCATCAGGCACCCGATAATCCCTAGCTGAAGTCCTATGGAAACTAGTAATTGGTGTAGAATACATATTAAGTTTTACACGTTCTTCAAATGAAACATTCTTAAATGTACTAGGGGTTAATAGCGGACTTGTTAGCACGTGTGTAGAACTTACGTTAGCTGTATGCCTTATCGGGGCCTCAAATGACCTATGACCTTTCCAAGTCGGACGCGACATGCTTCCATCTCGTGCCAATATACCACACCCACGGCCCACACCGCTTGCCACAAACATCTCTTCATAAGTGCCAGGGAACGTATAATTACCAACACTAGTATCAGAATGTCTCCCACTATCCGTAATATCTGTTGTTATAGACGTTCTCGGAGTCTTAGGTTTAGCACCAACACCAAAGGTTCGACCTAATGCTCCGCTAAAAGATGGTTTATGGGGTTCCATGATAAATTTACGAAATTAATATAGGTTCCCGCCCAAACTATTAATAAAAGTAATAAACAAAACAAAAATACAACATATAACACACTGAAAAATATTCCAACTACGTAAACATGAAAACACGTGTAAACCACCTGGAGGTAACCCAGAATTTTGTCACGGCACCATTTGAAGGAGGAGTGACCTCAGTCATTGTATAGCCAACCCAGATTCTATTCTAGGGTTCCACGTGGTTCCTAACGTACAAATGAACAAGTCCCAAATAACATTTAATAGACTTTATCAGAGAAGATAGAAGTAAACAAACATGAACACAAGAACACCGCTGGGACACATAATTAACATAGCGGGTCAGCTACTTGGCTTCGCCCGGGACATTCAAACACCCACCTTATAGAAACAGACCCGTTAAGAGAAGGACAGACAAGATAGACGAGTTAGATTCAGCTCTCAGAGCTACTACCTAACTGAAGATTTGCACGTGTATTGCCGCGTTTATACTAACCGGCAGCCAATGACAGCCAAGCTAACACGTTGGAGTCGTGAGTCAATCAGCTAAAGTCTAGCTTCTGGACAGTGACGGAAATAGGAAAGTAAATAAACAACATGGACGACACGAGTGACAGTCACAAATCCCAGCGACAGTAATACATAAATAACAGGCACAAAGTATTTAATACAGCTTTCAATTCATTCACGCCCTCACACAATCACCGATCCACCTGCACACCCTGATAGTAACTTGCATGCACACATACATACCAGTATAGACCTACTCACACCATAATAACCCGTACTTATACACATTAGTAATACAACAGAATGCAAAACATCTTTTATTTATTACCGAATTGCGAGTTGAGTATTTTTAAACGTAAAGGTAATACTGTTATCAACTCATCATCATCTGGTGTAGGTAACAAACTCAGTACTATATAAATAATGATTACTCGTGGATATAAATACAATGTTTATATTAGGAATATGAATGTCGATACTTACACAAATCCGAATGTCTTAATTACCGATGTAGTTTGGGCTTCCGTTACCGTAGCCATTCGAAGCTTACATCCAAGGATAAGCTTGGAATAATTTATAACATTAACAATACAGCTATTCTTTTCGTGGATTTAAAGGTTTGTGAGGACATGAGAAGACATATCAATACCACACTTACAAATAACAGTGACGATGCCTCTGTACCGTACCGAATATAGTTGTATATCTAGTGAACATTGACTGGTGGTAGTACACACGTGAGGAGTTTAATATTACCAGTAAAACATGTTTTTACACGAGATGAAATCAATTTTGAAAAAAGGGCCAATATTTCTTAAAACTACTCATAAAAATCTTGTAATGAAAAATGGTGCGTGTCATACACATATGCTTAAAGCATGCTACGGTAATTTGAACCGCGCGCCTACTCTTTATCTATAGATATACATGTAATAGTGCTGTTTACGTAAGTGAAGGTAACGCATGCATTGCTGAACTCGGGTAGAGCTATGTGTAGTTAAAACAGTGTAGATACACAGCAGTGGAAATACCTGTAGGTATTTACAGGTGTACGATTTACACCTAAACATACGACACATCTTTTCCTATATCACACGACCAAGCGTGCGATTGGATTATCAAAAAGTACTAAAGTGGTACAACGGTTTCTATTTTAACACAAAGGTATGTACTATTTAATTACCAATAACATGATACGTGAAGTGTTACCATTTACTACAAGCCAGTACTAAAATCACCTGTCCTGTGGACTGTGTTGTATCGAAATCTTTGTCAATCAATAATGTCTGGTAAAATATCGGTCTGTTAACATGTTTAGGTACAAAACTCACACATGTGTACAATAATGTAAATGGTGTAGGGATCTCAATAGTTCGGCTAAAGCAAATGGTCCGGCTGTCTCACTGATGTCGTCCCAAACTACATAAAGCGTCGCCATTTTGACAAAATTGTTATGCCGCATTCACCACTACTGTCAGCCCTGAATTTTGGTTTTCATGATCAATTTTGTTCTGATATCATTATGTATTGATTTACATGAGTATTAAAAATATAATTACATATGTTTCACATATGACATATAATTGAGTGTCATTGCACCTGTATAATCTACAAACTAACAGCGATCTATAAATAGACACAACATAATGATTAGACGTTACCTACAGTGGAAGACGTATCATGTTGATGCATTTCGTAAAAGTCAGTGAGATGTTGTGACATAATTAAAGTTTATTTATCTATAAAAAGTTTAGTGCGTTTCCTGGTTTGTCATTTTTACAACGAGGAATCTACGAAGTGGAAAGAGTTGAGCTGAAAGATTTTAACCATCTTTCAATTGGGGAGAGTTTTCTCCGTAATTTCCATCTAATACATTGTTTGTGTTCTATTGTTTGGCGTAATGCGTGTTTATGTATACATGTTTGTGTTTGGGATTGAATCTCGCTTGAATGATGTATAATTGTTGTTGTATGTGTGGATGCTGAAGCCGCGTTCACATCTTACGGTCACGCACGTAGTTGACCTTAGTTAAACGTGTTAAGCGTAGTTCAACGTAATTTGAACTTCAAGAAACCCATGATTCGGCCGTGGTTAGCTCAAAAACGTTCAAAATATCTCTTCGGTGAGTTTGGATGCAAAGACCCTACTGTGACCGTATTTGAACGTAGTTGACCCTAGTTCACCGCAATTGACCCTACTGGACCGTCGAGTTTGACATAGTTTACCGTAGTAGCATGGCACTACGTTTAACACTACAGTCAAGCAGGGTCAAAAAGGGACAACTACTAGGGTTGAACTCTGGTCAACTACGTTCACATGAACTATGGTCAACTACGTTCACATGAACTATGGTCAGCTACGTTCACATGAACTATGGTCAACTACGTTCACATGACCTATGGTCAACTACGTTCACATGACCTATGGTCAACTACGCGCTTGGTCGTCTGATGCGACCGCGGCTTCAATCTAAATACAAGTTTAGTATACGTTATATGAGATTTTTAAAAGAAGAATAAATAGTAGATTACATTAAACAAACGAAACATAAAAAGACAAATGACCGCTTGAAAAGCAAAAGTGACTATGGTTAGTGGGATCTTTTTGGTAGATAATAATTGTTGGGCTATTTATCGTTTCGAGGAGATAATTGGGTACTGTCAAAATTTATTTCGGCATTTTCCAAGAATGATGAAATGCGAATACAAAAAGTTGGAATACAATTTAGTTTATTTTAAAATAAAGTTTGATAATTTGAATTGAGTACGGATGAATACGCTGGATTTGAAGTTTTTACCCCCAAAAAATGCAATGGCCGTTTATATCGACAGTTCTTCCATTGGTGATGAACGGTATTCAATAATAATCGATAACATGTCATTGTAATGTTAATGTGTATTCTGGCTTGTGGTTACCTTTGTTCAGTCTCTAACGATCAGTGTATGACAAGACAGACGCACAATCTTATATTTTATTATAATACGATTTCTGTTTATATCTACACAGTTTTCAGTGACCGGGGTATGGCAAGACAGCCCGGACACACTCTACAGTGTCTTATACTGCTGCTTTCCTGCGTTCGCCTGCGTTCAAAGACAAATGAGGTAGGTTTATATTCGTTACCATGAATGCCTTTTCATAGTGCATGAAGATGCATCATCCTTAGTTGAATAGTATGGATTAGTTTCCTCAACTAGTATGATATATATGTATATGTATTGCTACACTTATGATGTATTTATAAAGTAAAAAATCAATCACATAGTATTGATGATGGATTTCTTGGTCTTTCATGGTTTAACGGGTATGATTGACAATAACGATGTTTTATATTTACTTACATTACTTTCCAGTAAAGAGAGTAACACAGAATATTAGCTGCTGGAGAGAAAAGTCTGATAATCCTAAATTTCAAAAATAAATCGGACGTTGAGCTACGGTTCCTGCAGCTGTACAACATATTGTATTTCATGCGGTGTACCTGTGTTGTTATTTGCTCTATTCCTTACACAATTCTTTCCGTATCTTTTTTTCAGTTAACGTACATTCACCAGGGGATAAGATGTGTGAAGTGTGCACCAGGCACTTACCTCGTTGCTCACTGTGACAAGGAGGACGAAGATGCCCGTTGTCGACTGTGTCCAAACGGAACCTATAGTTCCCAATATAACATAGCGTCATCCTGTGATCCATGTAAATCAGCGTGTGAACATGTGGATCTTGTTCCGGTTACCAACTGTACGTACCAGACGAATATGGAGTGTGCTTGTCCTGAAGGAAAATTCAACGTAAATGCTCATCTAGACTTGTTCCATGCCAAGTGTATGGATTATGGAGCATGTGGTCCTGGATACGGGGTCAAGTATAAAGGTTAGTATAATATTATCAGATTATACCGGCCCATCAACATCATAGAGGTAATTCGGGCTAACAAAAGGTAGATAAAACATGAAAAAGGAAATGACATCAAACGGATGCTCAAGTTAACGTCAACTTGAAAAAGTAACAGTAGCTTTGGTTAGCTATATCTTTGTGAACAGACCAACAGTTTTAAAGAATTATTTAGTTACAAAAAAGATATGTATGATAAGTTTTATTACACTATAAAAAAAAAACGTATATAGGTTAGTACAGGGTTTTGCATAGATCTGTACGAATTTGTTTGTGTTGTACGTCCTATAAACAGGCATGCTCATCAATCCGATATATATGGTCAGATGAGAGTTGAAATAATAGTAACTATTAAAATAAACTTTACATAAACGATTCATAATTGTTGTTCTGCGAGGTAACTTTGTGTTGCAATTATTACAATGTGGTGGGCCAGGGTTAATGAACTTGTTCGTCATTTTCCAGACGAAAATATGGTGTATTTGAACCTACCATCTGACGATTAAGTAGAAAATGTAAGCATATTGGATAATCTGCCTTTTGGAATGTTCATCTAACTTTACTGTGCTTTTTTTCTTTCAGGCACATCGGTACTCAACACCACATGTGAGAGATGTCTGGCAGGGAGGACATACTCTCCATCCACGTCGGCGTCAGACAAATGTCAGATCTGTACGAACTGTGGACGTTTCAATGTCATAGCTGAATGCAATGGCACGCACAATCGAATCTGTAAGGAAGAACCTTACAAGGTTATAGTCCCTCCTCAAAGTAAGTGTGGTGCTTAGCACGGTATCATGTTCGCTAAGTAAAGAAAATAAATGTTTTCATGGGTGTAGAATCCCATCACAAAACGCAATGATTTCTCTCTGAACTTTGTCGTGTTTGTGTTTCTAAAAAATGATCAAAACTAGTTAATAACGGTATATTCTTAAATATTCAGAAATATTAAATAATGAAATAGAAATAAGAGAACGAAAGCGTTAAATTAGATTGATAATAGTAATATTTTACTGATATTAACAACTCGTGTATATTTATTACCAGGTTCAGACGGACTTCCTATGACGTACATATATATTATCATTGGAGCAATAGTAGTGAGCATTGCTGTTGTTTTGGTGGTAATGTACCTATATAAAGAACAACTGGCATGTTTTAATGTACAAGACCAAAGCCTTACCCAAGACGTGTCTACAGTTTTTCCAGCGTAAGTGATCATTAGCTTGTAAAATCACTACATATAACTAATAAACACTGTTTCTTTGTTAACAGCAATGTATTGACCGTTGTCAAAGGTGATAAATAACCTTGTTTTCCTGACATGGTACTTAAGTTTGGTCACACATGTTTTGCTATTATGTTTAAGGGTCATCGTACCAACCCTAAATACCTGTTAGTATGTATAGGACAGTTCGAATCAGCATGGCTTTAATTTAATTAATCATTTCTAAAAACATACACACATTTTGCCAAACTTTCAACGTACCTTTCTTAATTACCGATTTTAATTTCATCGAATTTAGAAAAATGAAACTGAAATATTCTCATTGAATTAAAAGGGGCTTTATTTGAAGTATACAAATGTAACACGTATAAAGCAAACACAACTATCAATATTGTGGCAAAAGCAAAAAGGAGAAATGATGTAAGCTTAAAAATTACGTATGGAATCCGTTAGTTTGTTGCTTGCAGTGGGAAAGGAATACTTCAGATCACAAACCTTTTTTTTCACTTATTAAATACTATAAACTAAATATATAACAAATATTGCTGTATTTCCTATCATACCACACTTGTTTTGGTTAGTGAATAAGAAAGTGTTTTGCTGTGAAAAGTTAGAGGGAATCTCACGAGTGAAAGTGATCATATCATCAGACTAGCTGGTAAATTACAGAAACAAGATTACAGAAAAAAAAATATTTGTATAACACGCTGTCAAACTGTTGATACTACTTTTCCAGTTCTGTGATTGGCTGAAATGTGACATCGCCATAATAGACTCAGAGTAGTTATGTGATAAATAATTTTAGAAATTAAAAATGACTTTATGTAGCTAATGCAGTTTGTATCATCAATATACGCTTGTATTATTAGGGGTTGAAATGTTTTCAGTACGAAAGACTGAAAGCCCAGAGGAATACATGCTAGTTAACACTCTAACATAATTATAGTATTGCTTGAAAATAGCTCATAAATGAATCATTATTGTTATTGGCTGCTTGTTTACAAATTCGTTTTTGTTATGTTTGTACAGGACGGAAGAGTACCAAATGATTAAAAATATATGCGGGTTTGGAGGATCATTCGAACCATCATTTCCAGGAAGTCCGATCTCTACCAATTTACCAAATCCGCCTACTCCTACAGGTCACCAGCCACCCCAAACTAACCCTGTCCTGAATTTAAGGAGAAGTAGTGACGTATGGAGCGACAACGTTGTCAAAATAATGATGGTATTGAGTGAGAAGTTAATTACCGCTCAGTCGTGGCAACGCATTATTCGTCAACTTTATGAAGGTAAGGAACAAGGATATGGTTTATCTCTAAATAAGCGGTAATGAAACGTCTAATGATAAACGGTATCCATATAATAATAAGCTTCTTATTAGAAAATAACACATGTGCATGTTTTGTTGTTTATCTATGACAGTACGCTGCATACAACAATTAAGGGAATGCACGAGATACGGGTTCTGCAGGAATTGTTTATTATAAAGAGTAATTGATAAATATGAAAATATATTGAACTCAACCTATAATAGGTTATATAGTAATTGTCAAAATGAAATGTGTTGATGACAGGATATCGTAATTAAGGCAGGTAGACATATGTTGTACAACACTTGTCTAAGGGTTAGGTGTTAACGGACGTATACCGACGTTTACGTAATGGGAAATAATAAGATAGTAATGGACTGTTAACGTTAAAAAGCACGTTTTATATTCTAATCTCTGAACATACAACAATAGGGTTTTCAAACCAAAGCGATCTTACCATTTCTTTTGCATAACATAGTCTGATGATATGTTTAGATTCGGGACTTAAAGGTGAACAGGCTGACACAGATATTAAGGTAGCGGAGATCAGGCACCGTCATAACCTCCGAGAACAAATCTACCAATGCTGTATCCGTTGGAGTGGTATGACTGGGGCATCACCAAACGTATTGAGCCAAGTATTGCTGAAGGAAGATTGTAAAGTTATTCTGGAAGTACTGCGAGGGACATTTCCAGATGTTTTTCGTATTGAAAGCGCTGTTTGACAAAGAATGTCTTTCTAAAGAACACTATATAAATATCTTCATATCTTTAATCTTTTGAGTAATGTTGGTAGCTTTGATTTGTTTTAAAGTGTGAACGTTGCAATGTTCTACGTTATTTCCTAAATAACACATGCCTGTGTAAGAAAACCCCAAAACTGTTAGTAAAAATATGACCGAATCATAACCAATCAAACAGTATTTTAAGTGGTTAATGGGGGGTAACTCTTTGTTAACATGTTTTGTTAACATATAGATTGTTTGTAAATAAAAATCTGTTTGTAAATATTACATCTGAGATTTTGCAGATAGTTCGATTATCATAACCTTCACAGGACTAGGATAATTGCGCAAAGAATCATCTTAAAAATAACAAGTAATATAACACAGTCAGCATACATGCATAAATACGAAATCTGAGCTCAACGATAGGAATTTATGCTATTCTAAAACATGAGAAAATGCAGTATGAACTCCACATAAAACTGCTTCAGTATACAAAAAAGAAAGTTCTCATGTACTAAATATAGTTCATTTTGCTGCTGTACGCACGTTTTGAATTCAAATACTATAATGTATGCACGAGTGTAGCGAATCAGCTGTGACGTGAAGATTCAATCAACAGGGTAGTCTGAAATGAGGAAACGAAAGTAATTAAATCAGTCGTCCTTTCCGTCAATGGTTTGGTAGTGAAGTGATCAGTATTTTTACTGTAGATGTCAAGATACGCAGCTTATAGAACTGAAAAACCACCTTTCATCAGTATACACAATTGTATATCAGTTATATTATAGTGCGTAGTATGCACTTAATGACCAAATACCTATATCGTTAAGGCTCAACAGGCCCTATAAAATAAGTTATTAGCACCCAAACTGAATGCTACGAATTGACATATCTAAATTTCATTTAAATACATTAGTAATGCTGAGCTTCAATTTACTTGTACTAGCTGTGAAAAGTCATCCCAGCTTCAAATTGAAATCCATGCAAAACGACTTTAATCATAGTAAAATTCCCTATTTATATATTTTATCATATTATAATTAAGAAAACAACGGCGAAGTAGCGTCGATTGATAAATGAACTTTAGATGATGTCCCATTTCATAACAATAGCCGACGTTATAGTGCTACTTGACTGAATAAACCATGCCTAAGGCACCAAGCAAACCATTAAAAAAAATCACATTATACTGACAACGGGTAAAATAGTTGTTGCGATAACCCTAAAACCTGAATGCTAAGCGTGGAATCACATCAACCATTTTGAAGGAGTCTGGTATGTCCTGGCCTGGGGACCGAACCATTTGCCTACCCAACTTGAGCGAACGCACAGTACTGAGGCCAAAAGTGAGGTATTGTCAAGCAAGACACTTGGAAACGAAAAAGTTGATATGAAGCAGAGAGAAAACGCAAAGATCTAAAATATACAATTGGCTGAAGCAGATCAGTTATGGTGTCCTCAGTGTCCCCTTAATGGAAGACACAAGTGGGGAAATCCGGATACTGCAGGGCCCCCAAACGTTGGGGCAAGCAAAACTTGAGATACTTTCGTAGCATTCTGTTTCGTTGCAAACGAGATTTACATGTAATAAGTCTTGGGAACTATTTTCATGAGTACACAGCCTAAATGTATTACTAATTGATACGGTAACATCCGCTTTGTATTATTTTAATAGCTTATATACAAGTTCATTATATCCAAATTAGATAAAGGAAAAGCTATACATCTTTCACATTTCATCACGTTAATGACGTTGTAAACGCTTGGTAGTTGACTTTCATGTTCATCTTAGTTGGGTTAGGTAATTCTAATTGTTAAGCGAAGCGAGGTCGACTCGGATGTCTGTTCAAGTTGCCAACAACAAGAATAAAATATGATAATCTACCATCACGAGTGAGGTGACAGTTTTCTCACCGTCTGTTTATCATATTTTCGAAAATGCCTATTTTTAATGACAAATGCCTTATCTTATATAATATCATTGTGTTTATTATGTTACTCAATATTATAAGGATACATATTTGTATGACCAAAATATAGGCGTTATGGTTCCTGATATTTTTCGTTTCGTTACGGTATCTCCTCGGTTCCTGTTCCTGCCTTCTCATATTGCAATGGATTTGCAATGGAGTTCAAATGCTTCGTATGTATGTGTTTACGGTTATATATATATATATATATTATACACCTGTATTATATTGTTTTCATTATTTCCGATTTGATACAAACACCTTAACTTGTATTTTGTATATATAACTGAAATATACATATTTCTGTTATTGTTAACAATTTACGTTTGTTGACATAAATTTGAAAAGATGTCGACATAACCTTAGTATGAGTCGACATAATCTATATATAATTCGCATTAATTTTAAAATGACGTCAGCACATGTGAGCTGGGGTTCGATACAAACTAATATGCACGGTAAAAAATAGATAGGTGACCAATCATTTTCCAGGAATGATCATGTGATGTACTAACGGCTTATACTTATAAGGTCTACCCAGCAATACGCTTTGTTTCGGGTTCCGAATATCAGCAATATAGCTATTACATGTTTTGATTGCTAGTCGATGTCACACCCGAGTTTTATCATGATAAATGGCCGAGTGAACTACTTACGAGATATGTGTCTCGACAAAATATGTCTTAAAATATGGTTTTTTTTTAAATTTATAAATTATGTCGACATGCGTATACCGCAAGCTATAAATAAATGTGTGGCTACGGCATACAAAATTGTTAATAAAATACCAAATTATTTCTTGTTTTGTTTTTGTGTATTGTTTAACAGCGAATCGACAATGGGAGTAATTTAGGGCCAACAACACAGTAAATAAGAGATATTTCAATCAAAATTATCAGTGTTACGAATTAAATACAGAATAAAATAAATGTAATCAAGAGTTGTTTATAATATATCTTAAAATGTGTGTTCTAACTCGTATAGGTTACATAGTAAAAAATCACTGATCACTGTTTCATAGTTCAGTTTGGTGTATGTCTCTTGGCGAGGTTATTTCCCTTGTACTGTTGGCGGCGGTACGTCTCACCATCAGGTACGTAGACTCACTATTAAAGACTATTGTCAAATTTTCCACTTCTATTTCAAAAATGTAGTTCTAATACGAGTATATTTACATATCATCAACAACAAATTTATAACATTTTCAGTGAGGAACTTTTACAGTTTGTTTGGCATTGACGTCCTCGCAACAGCCAGGGTCATAGAGTGACGGGTGCCTAGTGAGTCACCACCTGAAACAGAAAGTGGATAGAAAAGAAAGAAGACAGGAAAGATAGGAAACGAAAGAGATTTTGTAATGGAAGCAGCAGATCAATGGTGGGAACTGCTATGTTCCCTTTGTAGAAGACATAGCAGAAAACCCCCGATTATAAAAGCCCCAACATTAGTCACCTGTAACGTTACACAGTGAGATACAGCAGGTTTATTTTTGATTTCTTTGATTTCCCCAAAAAAGAAGAAAGTGAAGAAACCACCACCGATTCTGTAGGGGCACATTGGTCGCCTCTAACGATTATGCAGTGGGATACCACAGGCCTTTTCTTTCCCCGAACCTGTTAACCTTTGAAATCTCGAATTTGACAAATGTTCCAATTCAATGTCAAAAATGTAGGTTTCAATACGAGTATAGGTACATATCATCATCAACAAATTTATTAATATTTTCAGCGAGAAATAATAAGTGTTATCTTTGAAATCTGGACCAATATCTAGGACTGTCATGATATCAGGTCAGATATTAGATGTGGATGTATGTGATTTGTACTTCTAGCAGTAAGTTAACAACACCTCGTTATCAGGTGTAAGATTGCTGTGATAAGCATCATATTCAATAACAAATTATGGTTGGACATTGATTTAAAAGATAGCGCTCGAAGCAGCACCTTCGTTACTGATACCTCTATGACGTTGTTCGTGACGTTATTAAGAAATGTTCCGCAACGCCTGATGGTAAGTTATCATGTTTATCTAACTCAAGTCAGTTAATTACAATTGTGAAGGGAACTGTGGTCTACTCGGATGCCTGTTCAAATGTCTGACATGAAGTATATAACTGTGATAACCTATCATCACGAGGAAGGTGACAGGTTTCCCTCTTACGTTAATTACAAGTGCAAAAATGCTCCTTTATCATAGAGTCGCAATAACAACTTTAGAACGAAATCGGAACGTTGCAGTTTCTGTTCGGTGAAAGTTATATAAGGTTCTCAACTGTTTACAGTATTCTCAAGTATAATTTGTACAATATAATATCGTTTACAAACTCGTCTACCCGTTAAAAGAAGTAATTGAGAACTACAAGATACTGGTAAATTCTGAGAAAGACTCGCCCCTGCAAGTTGGGGATAGAAAAAACAATACAATTGCCGTTACCCACTGTATGAAAGTAAGTAGCGACTAATGTTGGAATATGTCGTCTACCTGCGGACGAAAAGCCACCCAAATAAAGCAGCTTTGCCCATTTGTAATATATAGAGAAAATAAATATTGCTCCCTACTTCTACCTACCTTTAGCTTCTTTGGCTTAATACTGAACAATCGCCCTGGTGAGAAATGGGTAAATGGGTTTCGACCAAAAGTCAGAACATATCTAGTCCTTAAGTATGGTAGTTGTTGTTCCCGGCGTTCAGCAATTATGGTAAAAGTAACTGCTGGTGTACCCGTTGTCAGCATAATGCTACGCTAGGTTCATTCGGCATAAAATTTCAGCGAGATAGCACCATAATATCGGCATCACATAATATTCGCGTTAACAAGTAGGTAATTACATATACACACAATAAAAGGAAATTAATAATTTCCCCCAAGAAACTCTTGAGATCTTTTTTTCGTTTATGATCTTTCCAGTCGTCTTTCTTTTCTATATACTTTCTTTTTTCGGCGTATTCCAAAGGCCCACTCATCTTATGGACCTGGCTGCTACGAGGATTTTAAATCCCAACCAAACAAAAACCATTAGACTGGCACAGTTTGGTCCCATATACAAGTCTATAGTTTGCTTGGATCAAGTCGTTCTTGAGAAATATTGTACACACTGTTACCAAATGCATATCAAGAGGCGAGTGATACAGATGCTTCACGTAGACTTGAATTTTTAAGATTTTTTCGTGACCTTCTAACTGTAACATTTGGGATCTCTTTTTTGTTTCTGATAATTTTTGTTCCTTATTGCTTCACTTGACTTAATCTCGGTGCTAATAGTTTGTCAAATCAAAGAAGGTTATGGGTTCTGACTCCTGACCAAGGTAATCATTAGTTCTTAAAATTGATACTTATTGCCTTTGCATTACGATCACCTGTCACTATAATGCGACCTTATGAAGAGATATGGTGTCGTGTCGAGGTAAGGATATTTCAGTGGTGCGTTAAAGTATCCTTACATACCTAGGCTGTAACGATGATAGTCAATCCAAAAAATGTTAAGCAAACGAAATTCCCATTATATTTTACTTGATATTCAAATCAGAGGATATCTCTATCTTGTAGCTGTTGGTAAATCTCTAAAATATGGTCGCCAGACTCAAAAATGTGTTAACGTTGGTTTTTTAATTCAAGTCGTTCGATTTTTTGCAGGCAGACAGAGACAGATTATATGTACTAAGTATGTCCCAAGGCTTTGAGATAGGGACGCATTGCTTGTATGCTTTGAAGTTTGAAATATTTTGGAGAAAAAAACGTCAAGTCGTAGTCTTAGTCGAAAAGTACTCGGTGAATGCAGTATATGTTTCACAACTCTCATAGGATAATAGTGACTGTCAAGGGATTATACTACGGTACAAACAGATAATACGTAAGAACTGTGCAATCAAACATGAAAACTGTTTGGCTCCTTTTACCTCATGCGGTTTGCCCAGACGTGAAGAAGCTTTCAGGAATCTTAGAGAGTACAGTACCAACGAATCTGAAACTGAGTGATTGAAGTATACAGTGTGTCCTAGACGTTAAATCACCTCCAATGCCAGGCATTTGTAAACGGGTAGCGTATATATTTTCTTCATTCGAATATACTTATTTCAGGCAAACCATGATAACCATCATTCTTCAATTAGTATCTTTGAAGCAAATTACACGAATACAAAATGATAATAAAACATCGATAGTCTGACGCTTGTACCTTGCTCACAAACCTGGGATATATACATCTATCAAGAAACTTTCCGTTATGATGTTCAAAGCAACACAGACCGTAATCTAATCTGAAAACTAAAATTAAAAAAATGAAAATGTCTTCTGGGCGCATCTGGTTAAAATATTCAGGACAAAGCATGTTTTCATCACCGGCAAGAGTTCCAAACGCATATTCCATCGCTTTCACAAGGAGGCAAATACACCAACACACCCTGCCTTCAGCACACATAAACACATGCATGCATAAACAACACGCATGGTGGCACGTCCTTAAATAATCCTAGCTGTTGATAGGATGTTTAACCCTATAAACCAATCAAGCATCGACAAAGTCAACCGACGGTTATCTTGAATCCCAACATAAGCGATTCGATTTAAAGTATATTACCATGTGTCATTACAAGACAGTGTCATTGACTTTGGTCACGTATTTGTTATTATGGTTTGTCCGAACAAAGCTTGAAATGATAAGAAAGGCAACATATGGGTGTAACAATATTGGTTAAACCATTATGAGTTATCGCCCTTGATGTGAAACTCTCCAATAGCGTTGGTAATAAAGTCAGTCCTTGTCTGCCATTCGAGGAGTTGAGTTCTCTCTTCATGGTGTCAGAGTAAAAATGGACAGCCTACACCCTCCGCCAGCCTTAAACTTGTCAGGCAATGTGTCTGAAAATTGGAGAAGATTTCGACAACAATATGAAATCTATTCTATCGCCAGCGGTATAGAAGGAAAAGGAGATGATGTAAAAGGCATGACCTTACTCCAAGTGTTGGGCCCGGCGGCAATTGAAGTTTACAATACTTTCTCGTGGGACGGAACAGATAAAATGAAGGTGGGTGACATATTCACTTAGTCTGAGGAGTATTGTAACCCTAGGAAAAACATCACATATGAGAGACACGGTTTTAACACACGTAGTCAACGGGAAGGGAAGAACATAGACATCTTTGTAACAGACCTTAGGCACAAGGCTGCCTCATGCGAATTTGGAACTTTACCAGACTCTTTAATAAGGGACCGAATTGTCTGTGGTATTCGCAGTGATTCTGTGAGATCTCGTCTGTTAAGAGACAAAGTTTTAACTCTTCAGAAGGCAATTGACATATGTAGGGCTGCCGAAGCCAGTGAAACACAAATAAAGGAAATACAGGGAGTCAAGAGTGAAACAAGTGATGTTCACGTGATCAGGAATGGAGACAAGAATGGTGCGAAAGGCAGAGAAGCGCGGCACGTGCACCGGTAGTCACCAAATGTAAACAGAAACCGGGAGGCACACTCGCAGGTATGTGGATATTGTGAGCAGAAACACAGTAAAGCACATTGTCCAGCGTTTGGAAAAAAGTGTACAAAATGTCAGAAAAGGTATCACTTTGCTGTTATGTGCAAGTCAACACAGAGAAGACATAATGTGCTTAAAATAGATGAAACGGTGAGTGATGTTGATGAACATTATTCTGATGAGACATTTTTCATTGATAGTATTGATATAGACAAATCAGCAACTGGGCAGAGAAAGCGAGACTTGAAGGTGTCGATACCAATCAACAGTTCCAAAACACCTACAATGTTCAATTTGGACACAGGGGCAGATTGTAATGTGATTAG